ACATATAAGACAACTCCTCCTCTGATTGAGGTGACATAGACAAAGACAACTTACAACTAACAGTAGTTGGCGTACTTATAGGCTTCGATTTTTCCATCCCAAAACGAGACAGAATCTTTTCAATGTAGCTTTTCTGAGTCAAGAAAAGCTTACCTCTAGCCCGATCCCTGTAGATATCCATACCCAAAATCTTCCTAGCTGCACCCAAGTCTTTCATGTCAAACTCCGAGTTAAGCATCTCCTTTAATCTAGCAATATCAGATTTATTCTTTGTGGCAACCAACATGTCATCAACATATAACAAAAGATAAATCATGGAACCATTATCCAGCTTACTATGATACACACAGCAATCATATGAATTCCTGTCAAAACCTTGTGAAACCATAAAAGAATCAAACCTTTTGTACCACTGTCGGGGGGATTGCTTAAGTCCATACAATGACTTTAGCAATCTGCAGGCATAGTGTTCCTTTCCAGGAGCTTCGAATCCTTCGGGCTGCTTCATCAGAATCTCCTCCTCCAAATCGCCATGAAGGAAGGCCGTTTTAACATCCAACTGCTCCAGCTCAAGATCAAAATGTGCTACAATTGACAATAACACACGGATAGAAGTATGTCGAACCACAGGTGAGAATATCTCAACAAAGTCAACCCCTTCTACCTGACTGAACCCCTTAGCAACTAGCCTAGCCTTAAAACGTATTTGCTCAGTTTCCGACAACCCTTCTTTCTTCTTGTAAATCCATTTACAACCCACAAGCTTCCTCCCTTCCGGTACCTTTACCAGTTCCCACACTCTGTTCTTGTAAAGAGACTGCATCTCTTCACCCATTGCGGCAAGCCATTGCGCAGACTCACTACAACTAATTGCTTGTTTATATGTGGCAGGTTCAAATGACTCTACATCATCAGCTACACTCAATGCATAACCTGTCATCGCATCAACACAGCAATTTCTTCCCTCCATCCCTTCAATCAATCTAACAGGCTTCTTGATAACTCGTTTAGGCATCTCAAGAATGGTGTCAGGTTGACTAGATGACCCCTGATTAGATTGCTCCACCTCATCCCCAGAGTTAGAATGAGTAGGAGTAATCTCAGGTTCAGGAGTACCCGGCACTGGAACATCAGCATCATCATCAATATATTGTACCCGAGGTAAATCAGCAATGGTAGACTGATGTACCTCAAGTACCCCATCTGTCTGTAATAAATTGTCTCCTTCCCTTCTCAAATCTGAAATCTCTGCATTTTTAATTGAATACATGGTGTTTTCATCGAAAGTAACATCCCTACTAAGAATGACCCGACCCTCCGAAGGTGAAAAAATTCTAAACCCCTTCACACCATCCCCGTACCCAACAAAACACCCCTTCTTGGCTCGTGGATCCAGCTTACCCTCAATAACATGATAATAAGCAACACAACCAAAAATCTTCAAATTCGAAAAATTAGGCAACTTACCACTCCAGATCTCAAACGGAATCTTGGAATCAATTCCAGAATGAGGACCCCTATTAATGACATAACAAGCTGTTAACACAGCTTCACTCCAGTACCTCCTCCCAAGCCCTGCATTAGAGAGCATGCATCGGACTCTCTCTAGCAGTGTCTGATTAACCCGTTCTGCTACACCGTTCTGCTGTGGTGTCTTCCTGACAGTATGATGCCGACCTATACCCTCATCTGCACAGAACTGATTAAACTCGTCTTTGCAAAACTCTAGCCCATTGTCCGTTCGTAGCTTCTTGATCTTCCTTCCTTGTCGATTTTCCACCAAAGCTTTCCATTGCTTGAAAACTTTGAAGGCCTCATCCTTTGACTTAAGCAACCTAAGCCATGTGTATCGGGACTTGTCATCAACAAATGACACAAAATAGTGGTAACCTCCCATACCTTCAACTCTAGATGGACCCCAGCAATCTGAATGGATGTAATCGAGCACTGCATCAGTAATGTGAGCACCCTTGCTGAACTTTGACCTGTGTTTCTTACCAAACACACAATGCTCACAAAATTCAAGGTTGGCAACCTTGACCCCGGATAGAAGACCCCTCTTGGACAATAGCTGCATCCCCTTCTCCCCCATATGACCAAGCCTCATGTGCCAAATCTTAGTCATCTCCTGGTGAGATACAGATGCGCAAACCGCAGAACTAGGCAGTGTAACACCCTCAAAAACATAGAGGGTGTTCCTTTTGATACCCTTAAGTACCAACTCAGAACCTCTGAAAATACACAACTCCCCATCTGAAAACACACCATTGTACCCCAATTCATCCAGGGTACCCAATGAAATCAGATTCTTTCCTAAAGCAGGAACATGCCGTACATTAGTCAAAGTTAACCTCCGCCCATCAACAGTCCTCAACCTCATGGAACCAATACCTGTGACCTTACATGGAGCATTGTTACCGACTATAACCATACCCCCATTGCGAGGTTCATATGTATCAAACCAATCTCGACGTGGACACATATGGAACGAACACCCCGAATCTAGAACCCAGTTATCAGATAAATCATCAGACCTAGCAGAACTGACTAATGCTAAATCTTCCTCTGAATTATAGCTCTCATTCGGTTTCTCTTCAACTACAGCAGCCTGGGACTTGTTTTTCCTCACCGGACAATTATTCCTAAAGTGACCCGGTTCTTTACAGTAATAACATGTTTTAGTAGTAGTTTTACTAGATCCATCCTTGCCGTTTCCAGCACCCGACCCAGCATTGTTCCCCTTGTTAAACCCCTTATTCTTTTTAGAATTTCCGGACTTAACAAACAACCCACTACCATTATCCCCATTATCACTCGTAGCTTTCATTCTGAGTTCCCTAGTATGAAGTGCTGCCTTCACTTCTTCTAAGGTTATAGAATCCTTACCAACAACAAAAGACTCTACAAAATTCTCAAAGCTAGACGGTAGAGATACAAGTAAAATCAACGCAGCATCCTCATCATCAATTTTAACATCTAAATTACGTAAATCAAGCAAAATAGAGTTAAGTTTTTCTAGATGTTCCCGTAAGGAAGTACCTGACTGCATCCGGAGGCTAAACAACCGCTGTTTCAGTAATAATTTGTTGGTCAACGACTTAGTCATATACAATGACTCCAGCTTCAGCCACAATCCAGCCGCCGTTTCCTGATCAGCCACCTCCGTGATGATTTGATCATCAAGACTAAGTAATATGGTAGAGTGTGCCTTCTCTTCCATAACTTCTAACTGCGGGTCAGTCGGTCCGTCTTCTGACTCCGAAGTAGTACTCTTTGGAGCCAACGGACGCCATATCTGCTGTTGTTTTAACAGAGCCTTCATCTTAATTTGCCATAGCCCGAAACTATTTTTCCCGGTAAACTTCTCAATTCTTATTGTTGAATCTCCTGCCATTGTTATCTTCAAGAAACTCTCCAAGGATTGAACCTGGCTCTGATACCAATTGTTGTGCGACAGCGGAAGCAAAGGTCGAAAACAAACAAGAAAACAATAAAGAAATTCAATGCAAACAATAAGAACAACACCAAGAATTTACGTGGTTCACTATCGATGTGATAGCTACGTCCACGGGCACCGAGATCGAATGATTTCACTATAAACTGCAAAGATTACAAAGATGATTCTTGTATTTCTCAAGAACGGCTCTCACTCTCTCTCTCTTAACCCTAATACTGATATTAGGGAGGTTTTATATTAATCCCTAATTAAAAGATACTTGGGCAAAAAGATAATAAAATAAGATAACCTAAAACCGCAAAATCCGCGTTCCGTATTTTTCCTTCTCCGCCCGGTCAGACCGGGCAAGGTCTGCCCGATCGGGCGCGAGAAGAAAACTCCATACGAATGCTTCAACGTATCCAACCCCCACCGCCCGGTCAGACCGGGCAATGTCCGCCCGATCGGGCGGACAAAGCTACGAAGTACGAGTCACCTAATACTTATCAACAGTTAATGGTAACCCAACATGGAAAATAGAGGAATATGGTCAACAGTCTCACTCAACCTCGATCCGGAAGCTTGATCACCAAGGCATGAACTTCTTGGAACCGTTTAGTTTTGCGACTCAATTTGGTTTCCTATTTTCAATACTTGTTAATTGTTACTTATCACAATTATTGGATTATTTTCTAGGGAAATAATGGAATGTCTTTAGGTCTTTTTGAATTTCCATATCATATAAGTCAATTTTAACAATTTAAATAAGATTATAATGAATGACCAAATATATTTGGCAATTGGCAATTGGCAATTGGCAGAGCAAACTTTGACATTATTAAAGACCCAACAATAATAGTGCTGGCAAAGTGACCTTACAAATGGATCTGGCCCAACTACTGTATTACCACTTAAAGCCCAGGCCCACAATGTTGTGTAGGCATGAAGATGTCACGTGAATGTTCACTACTTCAGTTCTTCTCTTTAGTTCACTAGTCACTTCAGTCTTCACTACCACCAAAATTAAGCTTTGTACATTCTTGATTCTTCTTCTTCTTATTCTTTTACAGTGTCATATTTTGTCCTGAATATTATGTCTGATTTTATGTCAACAATGGTTGAGGGATGGTGGGCCTCAAAGCTTTTCTGATGATGCCAAATTCATGCATAGTTGGTCTCTCATTATTGTATAGACATGTGGAAAATTAAGACGAATGCTCCTACAGTCATACGGCTTGTTTGATGAGTGATAGTACGATAAATGGAAACAATGAAAATTAATTTACCCGTAATATTAGTACAAAAAACGTACTGAGTATTATGCATTTAAACTAATGTCCATGGTAAGACGACCTTTTTGTACAAATTTATTTTCTATAATCAACCAATAACGCCTCCTCAGTTGTTCCTACATACTTGGTAATAATGAAATTACGAAGAAAAAGAATTTTTTTTTTGAATTTTGGTGTACAAATTTTTGGGTAAAATTTTTGGGCTTGCTAATGTAGTAAAGTAATTGGTAAAGATAATGTAAATATGATGTAAGAAGTCTGAACAATTTGTCTATGAACCAACAAAATCAACGAACACTATACTTTGATAAAATGAATTCATGTCCGACATAATATGCCCATCTCCAGATTTCTAAAAAATTAACAAATTACTCTGTAACAAACACTGAAGAAAAAAAAAAAAATCTGCCTATTCAAACAATTTTGTAGTACAGTATAACACTAACTTCAATATTTGACATTCATTCGAGGAGATTTCCGGAGCCGAATGAGGGAGAAAAAAAGAAAAAAAAAATTATATGAACTTAGCACATTTACATATGATCTTATTCACCAGAACAAGGTCAGTACAGTTTGTTTTTGGGTTTTCACTATGGGATACTTCTATTAAGCTATATGCCTTTAGTTATTACTTAAACTCTGCAGAATGTGACTCAAATCGGGTTCTCAGCCCTTCTTAGCATTCTTAAGGTTTCGCACTCTCATGATAAGTTGTTGCCTTTCACCTTCTACCTCGGCGAATTTGAGACTTATTTCAGAGTACCTTTCTTGCATTTCATTTAGTTCAATTTCCATGGATTTGTTCTGTTCCTTTAACAGAATCATCTCTTTCAACAATAGATCAATCTTCTGCTGGTCTCCAGAATCAATGTCGGATGGTTTTTGTTGGCCATCAGATTCTCTTTGACTGTCACTGACAGGTTAGGAAGAAAATACATCAGATCATTATAATTATTTAATAACAAAAAATTCAGAAACAAGAAGTCTTTAAACATCATTGATCATCAAACTACCTGTTTGGCTCCATATTGTTGGAAGTTTCATTTGATGAGATGCTTGCTTCTTCAGGCATATTTCCTAAAGTGACTTCTTCAGAATGACAGACTACTTGTGGCCCGACAGAAACCTTTTCCCGGGTCATAAAACGAACAAACGTTAGAATTCACTTCTGAGACCATAAAGAAAGGTATGAAAAATTCCGAAGCTGTCTGATTAACATGCAATTCCGAGACAAGGCAAAAACAAATGTAATTGTTTATGTTTAATTTTTTCGAGGCACCGAGCCAGGTTGGACCTCAAACAATAATGTTGCAGTCCCAAGGCTAAAATTCCAGATCTTTGGTTAAGATTGTACTAACTCTCCTAGCAACTGATCCAAGCATGTGGTTGGCAGGTGGTTCATGTTCAATTGTGTTTCAATACATGTTCACTCAGCCTGAATATAAAGCCATGTTGCTGAATTAAAAATAAAAACACAATTTAACAAACCTGTTTAACTTCATCATGGACGACACCTTGATTACTCTGACTGATTTCACTCAATCGGAATTCCATTTCCTCGATTTTCTTCTGAAGGCTCTTCTCCTTAGTCAGGAAAGCATTTGTAGAGGTCTCTAAGGCAGCATCCTTCGACTTAATGTGCCCCTGTCATTGCAAAAGATGTTTTGAATATACAAAGTTGAACAACTCAGGATTTAATATGCATAGTTGTTGATAAGTAGCACCAAGTTTCTTGCTGAATAAACAGCATACCATGCAATTATGTAATTGTTTGCAATCAAGATAAACATAATAGATACAGGAAACAGGAAGGGTCTTTACCTCGAGTAATTTTATTCTCTCCTTCAAAGTGATTACTTCTTTAGAACCAACCTCTTTAAGATTACGTTCTGATTTCGTATTTTTGGAAGTACCTCTCGGTTTATCTTGAGCTATGGCTCGCCCATTCTCATGAAACTTCTTCTCAATACTCAAAATTGCTTCATCCTTCTTCTTTAGATCAGCTTTGAGTTGAAACACTTGCTTCCTTAATTTCTCTTTCTCCAACTCGTCCTCATATAAAGAATGCTGCAAGTTGCCACATTGAGCTTTTAGTTCTTCCACTTCAAATTTCAGACTTGTAATTGCCTGCTCTTTCTCATTCTTGAGATTTCTCAACACAATCAATTCCTCAAGTGACTTTCCAGCCACCTCCTTCACTGAATTGTCGCGTGCAGTATTCTCCTTCTGAACCAGCAGATCTCTTTCTTTGGACAGTTCTTTAATCTGTTCAGCCAGTGACTTGTTTTCAGATGTTAGTCTCTCTAACTCAGAAGTGTGATCCAACTTCTCAGATGAAACACTTCTTTGGAGTTCATCACTTTGTTTTTTCCGGATTTCCACCTGCTTGGACTTCTCTTCAATTTCAACCTCCATCTGCTCTACCTGAGTTGACTTCATTTTGATTTGACCGTACAGTTCATGCAGTTTTGTTTCATATTCATCTTTCGATGACTCAAGCTCTTCATGAGCCTTCTGAAGCATATCCTGAAGATAGCGATTCTGCTGTCGTAATTCAGTAGCTTCAGTCAATGCTTTGCTAGCAACCTTCTCATTAGCATCAAATGACGACTGCATTTGTGACGACAATCTTTTGAATTCATCTTGAATTCTTGCAGCTGTATTAGCATTTTTCCACCTCATCAATCTCAGGGCTTCTTCTGCTCGGATTGCTCGCTGCTCCTGTTCCACTTTGGCACGTGTAACAGACTCCAGATCAGCTTCAAATCCTTCCGCCTGTTTCTCTATCTCCTCTTCAAGATTTTGGATATGAGCTTCAAGTTCCTTCACTGAAGCCAAATTACCAGAAGACACTTCAGAATGCCTTTTGAGCTCATTCTCCAGCTTCTTAATGTGGGCTTCAAGTTCATTCACGGTAGCACTAGACTTGGCAGCACTTTCTTCAGCTTTCAATGCTCTCTGCTCCTGTTCTGTTTTCGCATGAACAAGAGCTTCTATATCAGCTTCATATCTTTGTGCTTGTTTCTCTAGTTCTACCTCCAGATTATAGTTATGAGCTTCAAGCTCTTCTATGGAAGCCGAAGAGCTTGACAAGTCTTCTAAATGCCTCTTACGTTCTTTCTTCAAATTCTCTATCACAGTTTCAAGCTCGTTTATAATAGCACCAGACTCATTAAGATCAGCTTCTGCTCGAGCAGCTCTCTGCTGCTGTTCCATCTGGGAATGTGTGATATCTTTTATCTCAGCTTCATATTCTTCCGCTTGTTTCTGTAGCTTTTTCTCGAGGCTTGTATTACGAGCTTCAAGATCCTTTATTTCAGCCAAACAATGTGATAGTTCTTCAGAGTTTTCATGAAGTTCATCTTCAAGCTTCTGTATCTGAGCTTCAAGCTCTCTCGCTGCAGTATAAGAACTTGTGCCATCACATTGCATCTTCAGCTGATCTTGGAGATGACTTTGTTCCAATCTAGTAGAATATTCATGGTTCTCTTGCTTCAATATCTCATAATCTAGGGCTAGCTGCTCCATCTGCATCTCTAACTCATCTTTATCTCGCCTATACATTTCTATTTCACTACATAGGTCCATCACCTTTTGTTCAAGTAAATATGTCCCTTGTGCATCACTATGCTGTCTTACAAGGTCTTCTAGAGCCTTTTGCGCTTCATCATCGTCACTCTGACTCTTCTGGATACTTTCTTCAATCTCTACCGCACTTTCTCCAGATGTGGATCTGTTTGGTAAATGGGAAACTCCTTTCTCATTCTTCTCCAACATCTCCTCTAAATCTTGCACGGCAAGCATCAGCTCATTATTTGAGTCCTGTGTCTTCTGCAGTTGGATCCGAAGATTGGCATTCATATCCTTCTCGTAACTGAGCTCTTCCCTGATTAACTCGACAAGAGTCCATGGATCCCCCTGAAACTGAAACTTGCTTTTGACATTCAGATCATCAGAACGTTTAGGAGAGGATTTGAGCTTTTCATATTCATCCTTAAGTGCATTTTTCTCCTTTTTCAAGCTGGTGATTTCTCTCAACATGTCCTGTCCCTTTTTGCTCTCCTTCACAATTTGCTTTCGCAGAGTTTGTAACTCTAACTCAGACACTTCTGCCCTCCTAGATAAAGCAACAAGGTCAGCTTTGAGCATGTCAGAAGAATCATCCAAACCCATGGGAGATCTTAAACTGGGAAAGAAATCTCTAGGGCTGTTCATCGAATACTCGGTGCTTGAGTCATTGACAGGAACAATGGCCAGATCCCACTGTGTTTTGTGCTCATCTTGATAACCTGAGCTGTTTGAGGTCTGATCTTTGACAGTATTAATATTTCTTACTCCAACTTCTCGCGGAGTATTTAATCCTGAGCTGCTATCAGAGCTCGACAATGTGATGTCCGAACCATTGGACCCTCTACGAGTGCCATTCAACCCCACTGTATGTGACACCGTCTTTCTCAAGGGTAGATCCTGCAAACAATCATCCAAAACAATAAGCAAATTGAAAATCAAATAATTAGAATAGTAGCATTACATTAACTTGTTATCAATTGATGCATTTCTCCAATAATCTCTGTAGAAAATCACAATACCAAAGATTAAATCAAAACAAACACCAAATGTGAGACCTTACTTCAATAGGATTCGACATGGTAGCTTGCTCTGCATCGCCATTGCTAAAATGTCGTCTCAAGCTCTTATCCTCGTCCTCCTTTACTCTTAAACCATCATTCTCTTCAAGATCTCTGCATACCCTCATACCACATCAACAAAATACCCAAACACGAAAATTCGAAAAGCAAATGTAATACAGTACATAGATATCTCAATTCACACCTTTGAACTCTTCCATGATTACTATTCTCCTGTACCCTTTGAATTGAAACCTATCACATTAACCAATCACATAGATAAGAAACCTCAAAAACTCTAACATTATTTGCTCAATAATTCAATCACATTCCTTTTAAAAACCAAAATGAATCATTTCTGAGTAATTGGCCAAAACCCGGCCTGATAATGAGACCGTCTCATACAAGAATTCGCGATAATTAAAAGGTTAAGAAGAGTACTAACATGCAAATAAGAATCCGAATTCGAGTTCTTAAATGGAAATGAAACTGAACAAGCTTTTGTTGCTCCAACATAATCCGCTATATTTACAGAAAACTCTCCCACTAAACTACTCTTTGGTGATCCCTGCAATTTCAATGCCAACAAAAAACAACTCATCAACCAATTTTACTTCACAATTCTTTCCAAAAATAGAAACCTTACAATCAAACAAAATAACAAAATTAAAAAATAAAAATCAATAAAACGTACAGTTGAGATGAGAAAGTAGTAGATTCTCTCTTGAATCTTTCCAGTTTTAGGATCTTGAATCAATTTCACTGTTTCGTAAACTTGATTCTCCCAATAACAACCATTTTCCCTCACCGTCGATTTCTCCAACCTCGCCGTCGGTTTCCCGTTCTCCGCCGGAACTACCGACACCACCAACCCATTTCCGCCGTACTCAAATATCTAAACATTATTCAAAAATTTCAACCACATTATTATTGGAAAAATTGTAACCACCGCCGACACAATTAATTAATTAAAAAAGAAAATCAAGTTTACCTGAGTAGCATGAAACTGCAATTTGAAAATAGCAGTGATTTTAGTTCTCTCACTCCTCCACTTAAACATATCTAATTTTTACGGTTGGTATAACCGGAGCTCAGCCGGAAAATTAACGGAGCTCCGGCGAGCATTGCCGGAAAACGATACTAAATAGAGGAGTAGCAGAATCGCATTCCGAGGTTGACTCGGGAGAGAAACTGAGTGAGAGATCGTAGGAATGCGCAGATCTAGAGAGGGTAATCTAGTATCTGAATCTCTCTCTTCTATGTATGTAAGGTGGAAGCATGCAACAGTGTTGTTATTGAAAGAAACGACTGACTTCTTAAAATATAAATTCGGAGGTAAAATGAAGAAGATGTAGACTTGTTTTAATATTGTAAATCAAAGTTTTTTTTTTTATTGTTGTTCTTTTTATTTTTTTGGTGGTGACGGGTGAGATTTATTTATTAATATTCTTCCGTTTACAATTAATCTTCTTGTATACTCTGGATGACTGTACCTATTTAGAATTAGAATGTAAAAATAGGGTTAATTATACACTTGTATCAGTCATTTCTACCCTTTAACATTCTTACTATATCTTATAAGTTCTTTAAATTACGTGTTTAGGGTTAATAGAAAGATTATTAAGGACAAAAGGAGTTTAATTAAAAATAGGGTTAATTGGTAGTATTAGAGTAATAATTAGGTGGGGAGAAAGTAATGAGAAGATACAGTAGAGAGTGTAAAGTAAATATGTATTAAAAAAATAATAAATAAATAAAAAAAAAGTGGAGTATATTAGGGAGAGCGGGGGTGTGCTTAACGGCAGGGGAGCAGTAGTTTGATTACGTAAGAAGGTGATTCTTCCAATGAATTTTTATTGGATTGACTTTGGTGTCTTCTTCTTCTCCGCCTTGTCCAATTTTTGGTTGTGATTAAATTTTGCCCAATTTTTTGGAGCTCCGAGATTAGGGTGGATATATGACCTCCAATATCCAAATAGATGCATATTGGATGCTGGATATTCGATCCGAAATCACAAGTATTTGTCATTAGGTATTTGGTTCTGTATATGTAGCCGTTTAGGACCTGTAAGGTTTCAGAACTGACATGAAATTTTGAAAATAATCTTTTGCCTAAAAACGCTCTAGCTTCCCTCTAGTTTCTCTTTCTAGAATTTTATTTCTAGTCACTAGCTTGATCATCAAAGACATCATTTTATAGGTCGGAGTCCAAGTCGTACAAAAGCTGTATTACACTCTGTTTGTCGAGGGATTCTAAAAAATCTCTTGAAAAATATGTCAAAGCATCACATGAAATATCAAATATAAAATTGAAATATTTTGGTTTATTTTAACATTATTGCATAGTCTTTATCACCAAATTACAACAAAATAGTGGTTTAAAAAGGACTAAAAGAAAGTGATATAGTGTACTACATATTTGCCTCTTAGCTCTTCCAACACAACCAATGTATAAGTTCGTTTAACCACATTGCTACTTCGATGTGTTTCTCTCGGTATACTCTACTTGGTAAAGAAGTGGCTATTGGGAATTGTCATTGTCATTGTATATTTGTATTAGACTATTAGATCCACCCTTGAAATCATCAACTACGTTGTACTCCATATCACACACTACTAAAGTACTAACATAAAAAATGCCTAGCTAACTCAAAGCATAAAATGCTCAAGCTTCTTTATTTTTAATTGACTAAAATTGATTCAACTAAATATTTATATAGAAACATAGCTATCAATTCTCTTTTATTAACTTGAAATTATACAGTTTATGATCTAATAAGTTCCTAATATATATATTGTATTTCTATTATCTACTTTGTACGTCATAATGATATGGACATTCATGGGCTATAAAAATACAATCACAATATTAGTCAATCTAAAATTCCAAACTTTATAACAAATTAAACAACAAGACAAAGTAATAAATACCAACTTACAAGTTGTGTTATAAATTTATTTTTATTTTATTAATTTTAAATAAGGTGGCTTACGATTGTTGCTTGTGAAAATTATATTTAAGAAAAACCTTAATTATTGTTGGTATTAAAATTATTTCCATGCTTATATAAATATAAAGTCCACTCACTAGTAAACGATGCTATATTTGACTACTTGAGAAAATAAAATAAAAATATATATATAGATAATTCATTGTTTTTATTTGTTGTGATTGTTCTATTACGTTGGTGCTCCAATAGACATCTAGATCCTATGCAACTATGTGTCTATGTGTATATATTTAGTGGGACCCAAAGTCCAACGGTCAATGAAAATTTGATTAGGCTTAGCCAATGTAAAACAACTACCTTAATTACCGATTACGGAAGTATCTTTCCATAATTTAGAAGGGAAGACAAAATAGTAAAAAGTAGTATGACGATGTGATATACCATCTTTTAATTAATCAAACAAAAAAAAAAAAATGGTTGTATATAAATCTTGTTGATTGTCTTCTATATACAAGAATTTTTATATATAACGGGTGTATTGTAATAGCTTTGTATTGTGTCTAATCCTTGATTTTGATTCCAATTATATATAGAGTATTAATTCAATTCATACTAATTTTTGCATTTCGCCTGTCATGCCTACAACATAATTCGTCTTTGTATATACAACTATCCTCTTTGACGATTTATTATTATTATTTTTTTTTAAATTTGCATACATTTCATCTTCCGTCCTTCCATTTTTGGGAGTATTATTGCTCGTATTTACCCTTTTATATACTCACACAGTCACACAAATTAAAAATACCCGCACACATTATCAACTTAATTAGCTATAAAGTATAAATATAGTTAGTTGAATAATTTTTATGCTTTATGTCTTTCTTCTTCTACTCGCATCATCTACATGGACCCGCTTCTAATCTAACTTTTATTATCTCATTCATATGATGTCTTAATTTACGTACAAACAATAGTTATAATCAACTTAAAGTAACGAAGAGAGTATAATTTTATAGTGTTACAAACTTACACTAGCTTGCAGCACATTATCAATAATGACATGCAAAAGAGTGTGCAAGAACTTTTTCAAGTACACCAGATAATTTCGTCCATGTCTAGTTGTAAATTTGTTTTGCATGAAGGTGAGTCGTGTGACTTACCTAGATCTGGTTCCTTTATCATGTCTACTACATCATTATTTTATTATAGTACTAATTATCTTAGACTTTGATGTACACTGCACAGTACTAGCACTTGTAATTTAAATAATAAATAAACCAATTTTTAATAAGATCAAAGAAGACCATTATTATACTTTCAATTGCAAAATATTAAATTCAGATTTGATTTGCTTAATTTTTAATTAAGATGCAAATTTGTGTAAAATTGTGCTTAAGAAGTTCCTAGAAGAACAATGATCCAGATTTGTAGTACTAAGGTCAAAGACATTACAGAGTCCGTAAGATAGATAACTTATAAATTAATTTAATTATTCATCTATATTAGGGGGACCTAGCTACCCTTCAATTAATGTTCATTCCCCACCAATTATTAAATCATAATTCTTCTTGGAGCTACATTACTTGGAAAAGGAATACATATATTATGTATAGTACATGTATAAGTTGTTTTATGACTTGAATTATACGGAGTAATTTATGGTTACATTGGTTAGTTGTAATAGGACAATTGCATATGGATGTTCCCAAGCATAATAAGTACTAGTTCATTTGTTAGTTATTATAGTTGATAAATTAATTTCTGATGGTGATATAATAAATTTTAATCGAATTATCTAATAAATAGTACAATTCTTCTCTTATGCATGGTAACTTCAGTATTACAGAGTACTCCCTCGATCATTTTTATTATCCCATTAAATCTATTTGCGAGACAAAAAGAAAAAAAATCGATCCACAAAAAGCTAGATTTCTAATAAAAAACTGGGAAGAACAAAAATGACCAGAGAGAGTATGTATATGAATACCTTTATACTTTCTCTATTTCATTAATTTTAGTGTATATTGAATTAAATGTTTGATAATAATGTATTATATGTGTAGATTGATAAATAATATCTTTAATTGCTTGTTAGGGCCTGTTCTGATTTACAGAACTGAACTGATTGGAGCTGAACTGAACTAAATATTTTATGAGAGAAGAAAATTAGGAATTGACTAAACTGAACTGAACTAATTGGAACTAAACTGAACTGAATTAAAATTAAGCTGAAGAGAACAAACCCTTGGTCGTCTAAATTATAGCCTAACTACCATTATTTATATTGTGATAAGTTCTACAATACAGTACTTAATAATTTTTTGTTTAATCTATGAATAGTGTATTAAAAATGATTGGAATTTTCTTAAGGAAGTCATTTAAATTGAAGAAATGTGAATCTTAAAGAAAATTGATTTTAATAAACTTTATATGTTGATCTGATATTCAAATCTTTAATTAAGTTCATTTTTATTATTGTCCTCTATAAATTCTTGTAACATTGACATTATACTCTTCCATTATAATATTAGAATAACTTCCAAGGCAACTATAACTTTAAACATTCAATTTCCAACAAAACCATACAAAAGGCCACCAGCAATTTGGTATATTAACACTATACATATATTTTCGGTAGCACCCAAATATATAAATAAAGAAAAAGTTAGTAATAATAATAAGAGTATAAATGTATGTAGGTAGAACCTAAGCTAGGAAATAGGAAGTTAGGAAGGATATGATGTTAGATTGTAAAGCATGTGAAAAAAGAAAGGCTGTAACAAAGTATTCGATGATTGGAAGAGAAGCATCTTAAAAAAGTGGCGTATGTATAGATTGTATTGTGTGTTGAACAAGGTATTGTACTGGCTTGACGGTGGCTCGCACCAACTAACTCATCTAACCTCCTAATATTGTACCACGCACTTACATTGCATACTTTCGAAAATTACGTATGACCTACCTACTAGAGTATGTTTTTATTTGTAGCTTCGACTAGCCGCCTTTTTACCAAATATTTTCTCATCATTTGCTAATTATGTATACTATACATGATATAATACTTTTGTCGTCATTGAAAATACCAAAGTTTGGGTAGTCATACATATTTATGTAGACCTTTGTATGGTCTATATATTGTTTGTACAATCATATGTATTTATGTAGACCATTGTATGGTCTATATATAGTGTTTGTATACTCCGCACAAATGTATGATACTGTTTCTCTGTAGTTGATATGTAAATAGGTATGTTTGTCTTGTTTACATTATTTATATCAATTTTAAAAAATGTTTTAATAGGTAATGTATTTATTTATTTCATGTTTAGGAAAGTTTTTTTTTTTATTAAATTTATAAAATATAATTAATTCAAACCAAAGCTCAAGTAGGTATATTTAAGTTTAAATAAGTGAAGCACGTATATAAAATAACCTCAAAATCAATGAAAAAAATTCCTTTATGATCGACATCCCTATGAAATTAACTCTGATCTGTTTATTAACACCTAACAATGAGCTCCATATTCTTTGTCAAACAACACTTGTTCTTAAATGTTTCAGATTTTCAACGTATCATGAGTTAACATTCAAGAAAAGTTTATCAAATGTGCAGAGTCTGATCCATCATTTCATGCAATGTTATATATAAAATATCAAGGTCATCGAGTCTAATTAAGGACCTACGGTCATAGAAGTAGAATTCAAAAAGTGTAAAATATCTATAAAAAAAAACAGGTAGGTTATGCAAACAATTTTCTGTTAAAGCTATAAACATATAATGTAACACACAATTAATTCATACAATGACATAAGATGGTCCTTAAAACCTAACACGATATACTTTCTTCCTCAGTTTCTCATACAAAAAGTGAAACAGTTTGACATAACTCATGTTC